CACAGAAAATATTATCTTCTACAATGTGTAAGTTTTTTGTGTCTCTACTAGGCCTAAAAACTGGGTGGTTCTATTCCGACTTCCGAGACAAGCATATTTTGCTACGTTGTACGTTTGTAAGACAGAGACAACGCGTCATGCGGATGTAGCGTCCTCTTAATATTTTGGTAACTTTTATTGAATACACCCAGCAGTTTTTGAGTATACAGATTACAACAACAACAACAAAAAACATTCATTTTTATATCATGTAGGAATAATATAAACGTGTATTTATCACGAAAGACGTTTGTTTTTTAAACCACAAATAAACGCACTAAAAACAAAATATTTACGTGAACGTCTTCAGAGCGCAGCGTATACAGTGTGGCCACGGTCCACGCCTTGAGTGGACGTCGACCACGAACGATGTGAAATAATACGGCCTAGTGTGGCCATAGATTATATTTACTAATTTGTATTATCTATGGGTGTCCGACGGGACAGCTTGAGCTTGGCGGACCACATGTGGAGACTTACGAACTGCATTTGTTCCCACTCGTCGTCGTCCTTGATCACACAAACAGCTACAGCAACTAACTATTATAGGCGTAAACATATTGCCGTGGAAAATCTTAAATCTGCAGTTAAGAAATAAACAAAAAAACATAATATTATATGTATTTTAGGTCGTTATTAATAATACGTGAGTATAACAATATTCTTGGAAAATAAATTATCACGAAAACTGAATATATGTGAATTTGAAATTCAAAACCCTCGCACGTCTTCACATTTCTCATCCAAGAGACTGGAAAATGTAATACAAGAGCAACCGAATATTTTCTCATATTATATAGGTTTAAAGTACCTACTTAATTTTGAATTAATAGACTGTTGAAATTAGAAAAATAAGAAAAATAAGAAAAATAATAATTTTTCCAACTACATAATAAAAGTAATTAATTTAGACTTCTTTGAGTTCTTTTAATACAATTTGTTGCAGTTTAATGCAGTTTATTAATATAGTAATTTAATCAAAAAGAGTCAATATTTTTGTTAATGTTATTTAATGTTTATGATTAATAATTTATTTATATAATGTCCAATAGTATTAAAATAAAACACATTTCCTTAAAATTAAAGGGTAAATACTGCTTCAGCCTAGCCCTAATGGCCCAATCCTCCTTCGGTTGATTTGATTAGTGTTCATATTTCTTGTTAATATAAAAATACATTTTGAATACAGACAAAAAAGGTGGACAAGTACATGTAAAAAATAATCGTCCTTATTTTCCTTGAAACTTTTCCAACTTGTCTTAACGTAAAATCCTGATCTGGAACATCACGAACTTTTGACTAAAAAAAATGTACCAAACCTAACCTAACCGACCACCGTTATCACTTGCAAATACGATTACCAGCGGACAGCTTTTCATTTGTAGTATATATGTATAATATTTTATACAATGTTTACAACTGATGTCCAATCGATTAGAGCAATCGATAGATAATACATCTGTATAATATTATAACAACTGTCGATGGTTTTCTTTTCAAACACGATTATGAGCTGTATCACTCGTCGACACAAATGCAATTATAATATATATAGGTATACAATAATAATATAACCCTTGGCTAATAGTTAATTACATTTTCTACTCCGGATATCCTACTATTTCGCGTATTGGAAACTCCAACAAATATCGGATACAGATTAAACCGAAATAGAAATAATTTCACCGATATAGATTTTCACATTTGACATTACAACGTTCGCATATACATAATATCATACATTATACGCCGTAAATGGATAGATCAACAGTGTACCTATATCATTAGACTGCCGGCGATATCCTTGTACCGTGTAATATTCACTTTTATTTTCGATCGATATATTAATTACTATTATACATTTATATTTTATCCGCAAATTGATATATTATTAATTATCACTTTAATATACTATACGACAACAACTTTTTTCAATCAAAATCTTTATTTTCTTTTCTTATAAATTGCAGCTATACATATATTTTAATAATATTATAATATTTCTGCTTTGTAAAGTTATATTTTTCGGCTATATGGGCCATTGGGTGTACAAAAGATATGATAAAGTTATATAATTCCACACTCAATAGTTAATACTGTGTTTTTCATTGTAATAATACGATAATAATATGTCGTATAGAGTTGAAATAGTTGATAATACAAATAATTATAATTTTGTACAAAAAAAAACCATTTTTCTATTTTACTATGTATGCGTGCTTAAGTATAAATGGTTTTATTACATTATTTATAAAAATAAAATGTATCATTAAATACATTATATTACAATATAATAAAGTAGGTAGGTACATATATTGTAAATTGTTAAATTATTACACGTAAGGCCGTAGCCAGAAAAATATTTAGGGGGGGGGGATTTATAAATATGTTATATTATACAATAAAATATGAAAATATAAAAATATTATTTTATATTAAATTAATCTTTATTTCAAAAATAAAATCGGGGGGAGAGTTGACCCCCCCCCAGCTACGGCCTTGATTAAACGTCTTAGTACAATGTAATTTATTTATTTGTAGGTAGGTATAGGTACCAAGGGGTGTAACCACAAAATAACTGTTATTCGCCGCTGTGATAAACACCGCATTTATATTTTAATTAACAGTTTTTTATGTAGGTAATTAACTATACTAATTTCTGTTTTATTACTCATTTTAACTGAATATTTTTAATTAAAATCTTAAGTTGGTATACATGCACCTATTCCATATTCTTTGACTCCTTCTCAATGTAATTGATTTATTATTTTGATTGTTATCAATAACTATGTACATTTGAAGATTATACTCTTAATTAATATTACTTATTAGATTTTTCACTCATAAGTCAATTAGGGTTGTAATTATATTTTTATCAAAAATTTGAATACCAAATACTGAGATGTGCCATTAGATCACATAATGATTAATAAATGGTAATTATTGGTTGGCCTGTATTTTTCGGTATTTTCGAGAATTCCCGCATTTTCCGAATTAATATTTAATATTATTAAGTAAGTACCTACATTCAAAAATGTCGTTTTGTTCAGAAATATCTACTGCAAAACGTTAAAACCACACAAGCTATTAGAATATATTTTGGTCTTGGAATTTTTTATTTTTTATTTTTTTACATATTTTATCCGTGACGAGATTTACGATTGTGTAACTCTGTGCACACGCGTTAGTTCAGGGCGGTTACGCTACTATAATATAATATTATAATATTATTATGTTCCCGACTATGCACCAAACGACTATTTTAATATGAATCTCCGAAATAGTGAAATCTCAATAGTGAATACATTATGAGGGTATGTAATAGTCGTGTCAGTATTTCTTACGAAAATTACTTTTCTGCAAATGTTTAAATTGGATTTTTGGTAAATGTTCCGTTCTATGTAAATGAGGTTGCTGCAATATTTATGTAGGTATCTGGTATTCCAGAAACTTCCACGATTTTAACGAACTCTACATTCACGGGTCATACCACTTGTGTTTTTTTAAGGTAGGTAGTTGTGGTTTTTACCAGTTTGTGAGTGAAATAATTCTATAGAGTAGCGCAGTAATCATACTGCCTTAACTTTAGCAGAAGATTGTTTAAAAAATAACAAATTTTTGACACATATAAGATGTGACGAGTTCTATGTTTATAGGGCCAAATTATATTTTATAAGGAGAGATACACTTAAAGTCAAAGATTTAGTATCCTAATAATTTATCGTAAAGCTACTGTTCGCACATCGAGCAATTTCCGACAACATTCTTAACATAACATTATGAGTTAAGTTAGGTTATAACATAGGTGGTATTATGTCTACACCGATTAATATAACGACAATGGATGCAAATGACATCCCAATACAGTAGGTACTTACATTGATGTAGATAAGTAATGGATGTTACTCAAACTATTATAACTATTAAAGTTGACCATAAAAAAAATTGAATAATGATGTCGGGATTGATATATTTTATAGACAAAACTATTACTTAGATAATTTCTTACAGTGCTATTTATTGTGTCTAAATAAAAGCCTAATGGTTAATCGAGCCCTGATTATGAGACTTTTGATTGCAAACACACTAATTATTTCGAAAAGTATTTAAGTTTTATTATTTACCTCTAGGTCATAACTATGCTGATTAATATAACGACACTAGAGATTGGAATATTTACTATTGGTCAATGGTCATTAAAATTTTAAACTGTACCTACATCTTGAATTTTTATAAAATTAAGTGTAATAAATGGTAATAATATTAATAATAGCAATGGCCTATAACATATTGTCCAAGTGTTGCTCAGGAAACACCTTAAATATGGGTTGGTGGGTATTGATAAAAGAAAAATAGGACATTTTATAGGTCGGTATAATAGTATAATGAGGAGTAGGTCACCTAAAATTATTTGAGCAACACCTATTTTTTTTTATCATACATGCCACTGAATAATAGTATTCTTATCTATCTCGTTTAACTAAAGTGGCTACATTCTTTTCTATAACGTAGGCTGTACAAATATACAATAAAATTAAAAATTTACCTGTATACTTACTGTACATTACAATTCTATACAAACTATTATTTTTGTTGGTGGCAAGAATAGTAGGGAGGTACTAACTACACTGGGCAGGTAAAAATACTCCTAATTCGTATGAGTAAATAACAACTAAATTCCCTGCATTTTCCATGTTTTTTAGTTCTTGAAACAAAATGGTTTTGTGTTAAAGAAAAAAAATTATAATTTTTAGATACCTATCACATTAATAGTCAAAATCTAAGGGGCTGGATATTGGATAGCTAAGTTATTAATTATTTTCCAAATAGCAGTGATAATTCATTAGAAATGTATTCAATTTTCAATTGAAAAATTATACTGTGGCGGCATCTTACAGTTAACATCATGAATACTTATCACTGTTAAATTGTTATCAATTTTTCGGATAACAAATATGTGATAATAGTCTGTTAAACAGTTAGAATTTGTACTTATTAGTTTGTAATATACTTTTTACAAGTTTTATTATTATTTCATCTTGAAGACTAAAACTTCAAACTTTCTTTTGAATGAAAATATTGTAATTCTGTATTTATTTTTTAAGTTTATTGTAAGTATCAATCATTTAGTTATATTATAATTTTCAATTTTGATATTTATATAGTAATTATTAATTTCTAAAGTTGTATGTTTCCAGTTAGGTATAGCAGCCAACAAATAAAATTAACCACATAATAATTTAAACTTTTAAAGTCTGATTTTTACAATATCATTGTCATGCCACCAAAAAAAAATGCCAATGCCAAGGGTCCCAAGAGCAGTGCCAAAACAGACGATGATAGCAAAGGAAAGGAGAAAAAAGGAGGCTCAGCTGTAAAAGTAAGATTTGCAAAATAAATCATTTGTACATAGTTTATGCACTGAACTCTAATGTAAATGATTGGACACTAATAGTTATGTCACAAATGTTACATTACATTTTCATTATTCTTTTGTTCTATGATATCAACAAGTCTACTTATTTGAATACCCATATACCAAAGTTAAAGATTTTATAAATCATTTTATTTCAAGTGTGATAGCAATTATATTTTTTATTTAATAGTAAGTATGTTGTTAGGTAGTCGATCAATATTTCATTCTGATTCACATCCAAATAAAGTAGTCATGGCCCTAATATTAGCTATATTAGCATATCCAAATGTTTGTGTCGTGTTATATGGATAAGATAAACTCTCAGAAATAAAAATAAAAGCACTGCTTAGTCTAGAATCTAGATCCCAATGCATCTTATGACATTTTTAAAAAGAGCAAATTTATACTTTATTTATTATGTATTATTTTGTCTACATTACCTTATACATGATATATTATTTCAGGTGAGACATATTCTATGTGAAAAGCAGTCTAAAGTGTTGGATGCTATGGAAAAACTCAAGGCCGGTGTGAAATTTAATGAAGTTGCTACACTATACAGCGAAGACAAGGCTAGGCAAGGTGTAAGTTAACAATTGAGTATAAGATTGACGTCATTATCGATGAGCTTATATTTTTACCACTGATTGTCAATAAAAAAAAATATCAGGAATACTGAACAACAATTTAAATGTTTGCTGCTTTGATTACAAAAATATAAGCCAATATTTGTAGTTGTTTGTTATATTATGTATGATTTATTAAAATCTGTGAATCTTAATTTACTGTATTAAAATATAAATTTAAGACACATTTTTTTCTCATGTCATACTGTTAGTACAATTGAAATTCAATTTCTGATTCATAATATTATAATATTTTAAAACGTTAATTATATTATGTTAAACATACCTAGGTAAAAACATTAACAATCAATTTATTCTCAATTATATTATTTTAATATATGCCTACATTAGATTTATTTTGGCTGGTTTGAATAATTTTAGTAATATTATACCTATAGAATTTCTATTCCATAGAATTTTATTTAATAATTCTATTGTAGCCAATTAATTCATTTATACTTTCATATCTGCCATATCATAGACAAAATATATAGTTTTACTTAATTTTTTTATTTAACATTATTCAGATTATTTTGGCTTGCTTTTTTGATTTGTATAAATTACTTGCACTGAAATACAATAATAATAATGTAATTCTTTCTTAAGTAACTGTTGAAACCAACCAAAAATCCATAATTTTATATTTTACTCGTAAGAAAGTTTCTAATTTGCATAATAATATCTAAAATCATTTCTAATGAATCTCCTTTGAAGTATAACTTGCAAAATGTTTCTTATTTCCATTTTGACTAGATGAATAAATGCATATAATTGATATGATATTGACAAATGAATTATTTATCTATAAACAATTATTTTCATGGTCAATAGCTTAAGCAATACCATAATCAGTGCTTTTATTTGTTTAAATTGTTGATAGTATGTATTCAATTAATTTTCATCTATTTAATTTACTAATACAACAAAATACCCATAATACCCATGATAGAACAGTATTTCATACCTAAATAATTAGTAATTGTATTAATTAATTTCAGGGTGATTTGGGCTGGATGATTCGTGGCTCAATGGTTGGTCCATTTCAAGATGCTGCATTTGCTCTACCTGTGTCGAGCCTTGCCAGTCCTGTTTATACCGATCCACCTGTCAAAACTAAATTTGGTTACCACATTATTATGATTGAAGGGAAAAAATGATAATTTTTGTTGTTTGTTACATTATGTTCATGAACAAAGTATACTTTTTTCATTTGCATTACTGATTGAGTAAAAACTGTATAAACCATGTATTTACAAAATGTGTCACTATGTAGGTGCAATAAACTAATTCTTATCAACAATATATTGGTGTTTTTTTTATTGCTAATACAATTAATGTTAAAATTAAAATCAATTCATAGATTAAAAGAAAATCATAAAACACAATGCTACTGAAAAATATATTAATGATACTATAGGATTAAAAAATAATTGAATAATTTAAGTATTCGATAATTTGTTAAACATATTATATTATTATGTACCTATTAAAATATTTTTGCATTAATAATTGTGTTTAAGAATCAGTTTTTCACATTCTGTATGACTATAAATTACATAGAAAAGCGGTTTCTAACCTTTTTATTACCAAGTACTACTTGACTGACATTTGTATTACCCATAGAGGTGTACGGCACACATTATAAGTTAAATGAGGACTATAAATGAATACACTTAAAATATGTCTTCTCTTAACTAATTCATAGAATTAAATTGCATTGTATAAAAGTAAAAAGTTATCCTATAGTATCAACTGACAACTAATTAAGTGCTTGTGCTTATAAATCTTTTCTTGAAAACAACTAAAAATATTAAGTCAGAGTTTCGTACCTAAGGGTTTTTTGATGTAAAGAATTCATTGCTGAAGGTCTCAACTCTCCAAAAAATTTAAGTTTTTGGTTATGTTCATAGTTAGGACTGGTAGGAGCATAACTCGGACATTGTGGCAACATTTTAATATTTTCTTGAATAAGACTTCGTTTTTGAAAAAAATAGTAATACATAACGAAAACAAATAGAATCATTAGGATTATTGTGTTGATGACCAAAGCAAAGTACTGTATGTTGTTGAGCAAACAACATTATTTTTTTGTAAAGATAATTATAAGTGAATTTACTTCTATTTAACTGTATGATCTTATTGAGAGTTTTTTCTAACCCTTTAATCTAAAACTGTGTTATTTTTTTTGTACAATACATCGGCTAAGAATCTTTGGGTAATGCCATCACATAATGTAATGCTCACTTAATTTGAGTTTAATAACCAAATTATAATAATAAGTTTTAACATGAACAAACAATAACAATATAATTTTTAAAAAACTGAAGCCAAGTTAAGCTCGGTAACCCAGTACTAATATATAAATTAGATGTGTAAAAGAAATCTTAATTTTTTCTTAAATATACCTAATACTATGTAACATATCATCTGAATTGTGTTTGTGTATCTCGGGTTGGAAGTCATTGACCAAGAGGGTTTTATTTGACATAATTTTCTAAGTCTTAAACATGTAAATGTTTTTATTTGTGTGATCTAGTATTGGAACTTTTATATCTTTTATTGTTCTTAAATACTAAAGCATATTGTTGGTAACATTTTCTGTACCTACATGAAATGTGTGTACAAAATTATTAATTTAATTGATTTCTATGAATTTTTCTTCTATAGACATTTTAATCAGTTACTGAATGAGTGAAGTTTGAAATGAAGTTATAAGATAAGTCAACCCAAATATTATTAAATAGTTTTATTAGTATAAATGTATAATTTATTAGCATTCTTACAGTATTTGTTTTGTATAAATAGTAGGTAGGTACCTATAATTACATTTTTCTTATATAATATAATTTAGTATTCATACCCATATTTTCCAATAACAATTTATTCATGTTTCTTTGTCTTATTCTAATGAAATGAACACAATTTTGATTAAAATAAGAATTATTTTGCTAATTTAACTTAACAATTTATGTGTTTAAAATCCATGCATAATTACAAATTAATTTTTTTTTTTTAATGAAACATATTTCACATTTTAGGTACTTATGTCTTAAGTTTAAAGTTATTACACATTTATTTAATAAATAAATAATTTAGGTAAAAACCAAAATACCCAAATTTTGAGGATTGTGAGGTAAAATTATAGTTCAGTAACAAAATATATAATGTATGTACCTATTACGGTTTATTACCCTTTTTTTGTAATTTAAATGTTTAATAGCAAATTGTCATGAATACAAAAATAAAATCTGTTACTCAAACTATTATTGTTTTAACATAATATAAAACTCCTAAGTATAATAATATAGTACACACAGATTAATATCAAACGGATGTTAATGAATGGTCATCAGGATTAATGGTTACCCAACAAGGAACTGAGTTGATTTTGAGCGGGGAGGGTCGTCAAACGATGGGATTTGGATTCATAATACATAATATAATGTCACATATAATTATTATTATTGTACACAACATGTAAAAAAAAATAATAATAAATCCATTCGTTTGTATAAGTCATGGTTCCTATTACATCAGCTGTGCTGACTTACAAAATAGGCCTTAATATAAAATGTATTTACATTTACCTAGTTTATAATATTATATATAATTAACATAATGACGTAATAACTGCAGTGCACAACGATCCCGTCGTAAATCGATGTTGATCGATAATGTTATGATAATATGTACACCGAACTTTGGTTCAAAACAGTTTGTTGTCGTCGTCGTTGAACTTCTGGAAATAATAATAATCATGAAACAATAATATTATCAATTTTTTTTTGTAAAACATGACATTAACCAAGTCCAATTATTGTGTATGGTTACTATAAAATATGTGAAAACAAATTTCATCAAGTTTCCTGCAGACGAATAACGACTAAAATCGAGACTGGGAATTATAACATATTATTACGAATAACTTTGGAGAGTAAATTGTTTTCATAGTGATTATTAATATTTTTGTTAATTCTTGACGAGTTACTTTTTACTACTATGTATGTATAGCAATATACATTTAAATATTGTTTATGCGAAGGAGTTGTATAATTACAACTCCCCCCCACCCTACGGTTTTTGGGAGTTTTACGTATGTTTTTCAAAAATATTATATTTTAATCACCAGAGGTTATAAAGATTTATCTTTGTTAGGAAATACATACATTGGATCATAAACGTATCTTTTGAATCACGTCTATTAAAGTAACAAATTGAGTCACCATACTAAAAAGTATGTCAAAAAATAGTCTTATGAATATACAGACACCAAAAGACTATTTCAGCCACATAATATTATTCAACCCATTATTGGAAAAAACTCATAGCACCGATACTCGATATATTTTCTTTACAAAGAAAATCTATTAATCATAATTCATAAATATGTTTTTTCTAATAATTAACCGTGTTACCAAAAACCTTACGGAAAATCGGTCAATAGCAAACAAAATCTTGGATCCATCCCAAATATATATAATATTTTAATAATAATATGTATTATGTTAAGAAATATTTTGTAAGACGGCGTGATGTATAGGCAATATGGGTACATTGCAAAGCAAAAATTATTGTTACCGTCAAAATAATATAATAGGTCTATTATTCAATATTATACAATATTATTGCACTACGCAGATATTACGACACTCCTACAAATATTATCTTTTAATGGGTATATTATATTTTATTGACGCGTGTACTACGCCCAGAATTATAATATCATATTAAATTCTTATTTCTTACAATGATTTTAATTTGTTCAATCATGTTTTTAACATCTTGATTAAGAGATTTCGTAAATATTACAGAATGTAAAATATAAGCATTAGAAAAACGTTAGTTATAAAATTTAAACACGTCAAAATAAATCAGACAAGGGGGCCGTGATGGATCGCCCTTTTCTGGTAAAGCGTTTTAGTTAATTCGATTATGATTAAGTCATTATTTTTTTATTGGTATAAAAAAATAGTTTTTAGTATTTAGTATTTAAAAATATTACACACTAATAAGGAGTATACGCATTTCAATTTCAATGTTTACGATACAAATAATTTGTATTTAATATTTATGAAATGTTCAATTTGTGTAGTACACACTTGAAAAATTAATAAAATGTTTCTCAAAGTAGTTCATACTAGAACCAAAAGTATAAATATAAATATTGTATTTATTTATTTATTTATTTATTACAAATTATAATCGTATGCAATGTTTTTGGTAAAAATTAAATCAACCAACCATTCCTAATAGTTAATACTAATATTAAATTAAATTACTAATGGAAATAGTCTGTCTTATATAATAAAATATACTTAGTAATATCATAGAAGAATAATATTGATAATATTGGCTGATGGACTATCTCCTCTCAGAATCCTTTTTACAATAATCTATTATTGAATTCAAATGTAATACACCCTTTACAGTGACCCACATGATACCTATTGTGCAACACACCGATACCTAATTGCCCACCTTTATATTTGAATTTGAAACGTTTTAAATGTGATATAACCCTTTGTGATCACTTTAAGTTCCGCTTCAAAATAAATTTGTATATAATTACAAACTAGTATGCAACAGTTATTATTGCCTGACTCTACTTTTATGTCTCATATTCTACCAGAAAAAATTATCATGAAAGAAAAAATGTCAGTTACTATAATAACAAACACATTTTCAATCAAATTTGTTATCAAAAATAATAGATTTTTCTTTCATATCCTATTTTTTATAAAGGGAAAAAATCGATATAGCCAAAAAAATGTTAAGGTGTCCTGAAAGGGATCAACTAAAAATGTCCTTTGATGGTAATGTTGGGGATAATAATTCTTATAACACATATCGATGTAGCTTTAAACGTTTGTCACTATTTATGTCATACATATATAGCTTACAACGTTCAAATAAAAGAAAAATAGAAAAATGATGTAGTTAGAATCATAAATCAAATTTTACGGGTTTCCGACACTACTGCAGAAGACACAAGACAATTTTTCGTTTTCCGCCCCAAAGCGAGAATTACGACAGTTGGAAAATCAAACATCAATTAAACAAACCTACGGCAAAAAAATCGAAATCACCTATACAGCCAGTATTATCATTTTATACCTACTGGAAACAAATATCAATAACGTGAGTAATAATTAATTATTATAATAATATTAATAAAAACAATACGAATCACACCTTTGGCACGACAAACGCAAGCGGTGTTATTATTTCACGGTCGGGTCATAACTGTTCGTCTCGTCGGTGTACTCGTCACCGTAATCGCCACCAGTCTCCTCGTCGCCGCCGCCTCCACCGCCCTCGTCGTAATCGTCCGCCGGCGGTTCTGCGGTGGTCTGCGACCGGTAAGATTTCGTTGTGGTCGTCGGTTCCTTTCGGACGTCATCGGACACAGTCGTATGTTATTATTATGATCGGCATCATGGGCATTATAATATTATTTTGGGTATGTGAGGGTCATGCAGCAAAAGCGCACACCAGACGAAAAAAAGACAACGGAAGTTAATTTCCTGGTGACGAGTTGGCGCGAAAAAAAAAATTTCCGAAACGTACCTTTTGCGGCCTCCAGCCGCATCCGGGCAGCGGCAGTCCGTCTAGTCCGATGGGACACGGAGCGTCCAGTCCTGGCACTCCTTGATCGCCCTTGTCGCCTCTGTCGCCCTTCCTGCCTTTTTTACCTACCGGACCCTGAAACGGACGCATGCGCGTTAGCATTATAGTCTATAGGTGCCTATACGTATATTGTGTAATGTTGCGAGCGGGTTAGGGGACCATGGACGAGCAGAGCAATAGATGGATGGGCGATCGGACTCTAGACTATAGTGTTTTCCAACCTATGGGTCACCACCTGGTTTTGTAAAATTGTTATAATTGGCCGCCGACTCTCGAGGGGTAATTACTTACGAGCAGTAATTACACTCTAGGTATTTAGTTGTAGTGATTTAGTGTCGATCATATTTTTAAATAAAAGAGAAATTTTATTTGAAATCATTGTTTAAAGTGTAATTAAATAAGATAATTAATTAGTTTTGACTACAGTTATGGATATATATTGTATTAACTTGTTTTTACATATTATTTAAGAAATTAACTTAATTAACCTCTGTTATTAGGATTATTAGACAATTATCGGATAAGTTAAAATAAATAATTAACTTTTTAATTTTTTCACTAAATCATATACCATTCATTAAATTATAATAACGCCTATACTTAGAGCATTCAATTTTGGGGGATTAGTGTGAGTTTGTAAAAATTGCAATGTGTTTGGGCATGGGGCAACCTTATACTTTGATATCCTATGGTGCGTTTGGGAAGTATCTTATCAATATTATTATTATCCTGCATTACTTAGTAATAAATTATAGCTTACACTAGTACTACAACTATTACAAATTTACGTTTCCAGAATGTCCGAACAAAACAAAAATGTGTGCCATAATTATTAAGTTAAGGTTTATTTAATATTTGTTCTTCTTTTTTATAATTGTATCTTTTGTCTTTTAAATCGTGTCACACCAGTCCAAACACGGTATTAGAAACTGGCCCAAATACATTGTTTTTATATTGGGCAAGTAAAAGGCAATTCGCGGAAGCGCTTGAAGTTCGAGAATTTTCGCCTGAATAAAAATATATTATGAGCTGGCATAGCCAACGATACTCGTCAAAAAATCCTCCCCATAACTTAACCTATATATTGTACAGGTAGAATATAATATTATATATACTCACAGGTTCACCTTTGTAACCTTTGTCTCCTTTGGGACCCTGAAAATCAAATGCCACGACGGTATTAAAATGCTGCTTCTACAGTATATCCGCAAACGCTTATTATATAAATGTAGAAGAATGCGAGTCCGATAAATTCCACTCAGAAAATTTACGTACATTTTACCGGTAGATATGAATACAAGTATTTGTCTTATTAATAATTTTTTTCACGTTAAAAATATTATACAATAATATGTTTGTATCCAAAATATTATAATATTACTTACATCAAAGGATATTTCTCAATAAATAATATTATATAGGTAGGTTTGGTTAAACTATACCTACGTACTGTAGAATTCGAAATAAAATATTAAACAAATTATAATTATTAAAATACGTCAACTATTCTATTATTATCATTTATCATAGTATAAGAAATAAAAAAAACTACATTAATATAATAAAAAACAGGTTGTCATTTGTTCCTAAAAAAACACAAAACGTTTTGAATCACTATAGAGGCTGGTGAGTAGTGACTACACCTCTGAGTATAATGTACGTAAATTTACTGAACTTTTTACCGATGAGACCCGCGTATAAAAATGCATATACAGACGGCGCATGCACATTCTGGAGGAGTGAGCACGAAGTATAATTATATATTAAGCTTTCGCAGGTAAATAAATATTATAGAAATGGCAATTTTTTTTATATATTTTTAATTATTTATAACATATTCTTATGCATAACAATATATGCAGAAATGGGTGTTGGCGCGCCGGTCAGTTTGATCTTGGAATTTACCTAAGTACATTATTTATTTATTTTTTGAATATCTATTGATATTCGATATCTTTTCGACTTTCATCAGTCGTATAGGGTTTCGGGGTTGCTTGTGAAATAACGCCATCATTAAATTATTTTATAATTAATATTTCCATCGTCATGGTTATAATAGCATAGCACAAGTATTAGGTAGAATATATGATAACATCAAGGTTGTAGGTACCTAATGATTGACAACAATTAATTTATAAATATTTGTCGTCCGAAAACCTGTTAATAATGTCCTTTGTGCACGAAAGCAGATTTTATTTCTCCCTCTAACTTCAATTTTTGTTTTCAATATTAAATTTTCAAGCTGCGTTACAGCAACGAATCTGCAGCGCGGTGATCCTTTTTGTGATTAGTGTTCCTTTTCTTTCTCTCATCCGGTACTCCAGGGCTATTCTGTTTTCTAATTTGTTCCGTCTCGTGTACTACACATTATATGTAGTACATTTACCCCACAGTGTATATACCTATCCCCGTATACATATTATATGCTATATAGAATATGTATACCTACTATTGTGTGTTCTATTATAATTGACCACCCTCGTTTCGCAATCGTGACTCAAAAGCTTGCCAGTGATCTCTTTTTCTCGTCCACGTGCCGCGATGATGTATTATAGTTAGGTATATAATATGAGATGTAAAGATATAAATAACGAACATATTATCTATTTCAGCTATAAGTCGTACTGCTCAGACCCCTATAACCCCCGATTACGTTACCTATGTCGGCACATTATGGTTGAAACCCCCTAAAAAATCCAAAAAAAAATATTTGAATGTAAGTATGCGGAAAATACACATGCCAAATATTATCTGCACGATTAAATACGAATAATAATATAGGTAGATACTAATATAATTATAATTTATAGATAAATAAATATTAAAATATCGTCGTTTTTATCACCGCACGTCCCGGACGAAATCTGCATTCATCGTAACACAAACGCGCATTTGTAGCTAAATTCCGAGATCAAAACTCAATATGGGTCAAGTTCAATATTCATAGGTTTTCGGGACGTAAGTGGGTAATCAAATTAGAAGGGTTAAATGGTGTGTTTATTGAGGGTACACGAGTGGACGTGAGCTGATGTTAATTAATTGAAGCTTTGTACGATATTATACACTACAGTACTAGTACAAAAGCTATCTGTGGTATAAAAACCATGGTATAGGACTTGTACGGTCACTAATTTTGGATAGTAATGTTAGTGAATTAGAGTGCTCGAGATTATTTGAAAACAATGTAAATAGAGTCACCATTATACTAAAGTAGTGGTACATAATATTTACAGTAGAAACCGTTTAAACACGATTAACTGATTACAACGACAATATAATATTATCTATAATCCTATATATCCTACAATGCTGTTCCACCAATATTTTCGTTAGATCATTTTTTTTAATGTTTATATTTACAAAAAATAATTGAACAATAATAATGATAATAACTTTATTGCATTTAAAAACGGTATTAATTAAATTATTTTATTAATTTACTTCATTGATATTATTATAATACGCTATTAAAATTAATTTAACTCTTCCAAAGCAAAACAAAACAAAAAAGAATATTTTATTTTGTTTAGGTTATCATAGGTAGGTATATGATATAACATCACTTAAGTAACAATGAAGTAAATTTAAAAATATTTTTATTTTAAACGAGAAAAATGCGTTTTGTCATAAGCATTAGATGTCTATGTTTCTTGTATTCTAATAAAATACCACCTCGTATAAAATAAAACAGGACTCAAACTATCGACGTTAAAATGTGTTATCTGTTATAGCAAACGATGACTATGGTAACCGGGTTTTTATCGAATTGAATGTTTTAAAAAGACCAAAAAAAATTGTCTCAAGTTAAAAAAACACATATCGTATATGTTTTCCAAGCCACTATAAAGCTGCAGCATAATATTGCCTCTATATAAATACACGTCTTAATATCGATAATTTAGAAACGCTTTTTTTATGAAAACTTGCAAGATAACAATGTTTTATTTCATTAAACTGTATCTCGAGTTTTTACTGATACACATCACACGATGGATACATAATGTATTATGTATATTTGTATATTGCGTTTTAAGTTTTAAGTTTAACATTGAAAATCTAATATAAGAAGGAAAATTATTTTTTGTTTAAGTTGTTTACGAATCTACAATAACGTTTATTATAATAGATATATTATCAGGTCGCACTTTCTCTACAGGTCGTTGTAAACGGTTTCTGCTGGGCACATAATGTTATAATAATGTATAGAAGCAAAATAAAAATGTTAATATTGTTTATAGTTGAAATGTTATACCTCACCACCAGGAATGCCATCCGTACCCTAAAACAGAACAGAAACAGCTGGAAGTATTTTTATCTCCTTGAAAAAATCGCGTTAGTTATTAAAAACCAAACGTAGATATTTAAACACGGATACATATTATTATTAACATGTACACAAGATATTATCATATAGAATATACGTTTATGCGTATATTGTGCGACATACATACAGGCAGGCCAGGATCTCCTCGTTCCCCTTTGGTACCGGGCTCCCCTTGACCACCCTAGAAATATAGGCGATAAAGCGATAGAGAGACAGAAACATAATAGGTAAGTAGGTATAAGGTGTAACACTGTTTTAAGACACAATTATATTAATACAATTGTTCGGTAAAAAACCAATATGACAACATTTTATTATTATTATATGACAACGGCCCAACCGATGGGAGCATTATATTATATGCGTGTGGTATATTTAAGGTATTAAAATGTATGTATGATAATAATTACCTTCATCCCGTCCAGTCCTGGAGGACCCTAAAATAACAAAAACCAAAGCCTTATTAACACGTATACTCATTTGGGATACGGATAGGTTTTGCAAATGATGGTTAGTGATGAACGAAGGTAGGTAGTAAAAATAAATCACAAGAAAACGGTTGATTAGGTATAGGTACTCACCCCGCAGGCACACATGCAGCATTCCACAAGTCGGATATTCATTAAAAAAAACAACACAATTTTTTTTTTTAACCAAATATTTTTATAGTCACCATCATTAATGATGGGCGGCCGGAATTAACGAATATCTAGAATTCTCCCGGAAATAGTGTAATATAATATGTATCGTATCATATTAGTACAATTAGTTTACTATATTATATATTTTCTGGCATGACATTCTCTGGACTTTGCAGGTTGTTCTTGGATACCGTTTATGATTACAGATTTCCACATAACCGTAACATTAAATCGATTTCTAAAAGCACGTCATGTTGTTATAAGTACCCTTTTATTCCACCAGGATTTTATACGAACTAATTTTGTTTCACATGCATCAGTTTCAAAATTTAATCATTGTTAATACATTGTACATCATGGTAGACAGTGTACATTTCTCAATATAATTTAAAAGGTTTAGTAAAGAAATGAATACATATTTGAATATTTGAAGTTGGCTAATTAATGCGCCCCCAATTTGAATATACTATTATTTTATTATTATTTTTTCAATCAATTTTATTTAAATTATTGTTTCTTCAATCAATTGTATTTAAATTATTGTTTTTTCAATCAATTTTATTTAAATTATTATTCTAAACGTTCATCTATATATATATATATATATATGAATTTATTTACTTTGGGTAATTTATTATAATTTTCACTTTAATTTACTATAAACACTGAATTATTTAACACACGATTTGTTCATACTTCACATTATATTATTCTGAATAATGGTATTATTAAAACTATTTATATCAATAAATATCTCTAGAGTAACGTTTAAAAAAAAAATAAGGATAAAATATGTTTTTATTATCGAATTGCATTTAAAAAAAAAATACTTATAGCACCTATATGCATTTATTAATAATCTAAAATATATCATGTATAATATATAAATTAAGAACAAAGTCAAGCGATTTATTTTCAAGACGTTTTTATATAACCTAGGTTTAAAATTATTATTACCGTTTTCAAACAGATATCTCTAATTATTTAATGTTAAAAAACAGTACTTGTGTGTGTTCAATATTTTTATGATGGAAAACAATTACAATTTATCATATTTTTTTACCAAATATAAACGCAGTTTAAGACATAATCTTTTGATTATATATTGATTTAAATAAATGGATTGGCTTCGAATCAATATGTTTATGATGTTGTATTAAATATAGGTTATAGCCTATAGGTATTAAATACTTTACGTTTTTGGCGCTTGTGTAACGAATAAATTGGAAGCTACAATTGGGTTTAGTAATTTTTACTGTCTTCTAACATCAATACACGATTTATATTTTATACCCTTAAAATGTACCTATTAATAGGCTACATAGATCAATCAACATTATTTCGTTTGGTAGACTATTTCCCGGCCAAACATAGAATAAAATATTGATTGTGAAATACTAAAATGTATGATGAAACGGAATACAGATTGATATTATAATAATATTATAATACAGAGGTACCCACAATATGTATGAGAGAGATAGATCATTAACGAAACTCAACTGTTATCGTCCAAACGGTATAATGGCTCGACGAGCCATTATATTCACCTACATATACATAGGTAAACTATTCTGTTTAAATTCAGCAAACACAATCAATTTTTGATCTACCGATTTCCCGAAACCATTCTAGCTGTAAATGTTACGAAATGGCTGTATTGTAAAATTACCGAAGGAAACGCTGCAGCTGCACGCAATGCAATGTGCATTTGTCCTGCAGAGAAACAGATAAAAAGAAGTCAAATAACATACAACGTGCATTTTATTGCGGTGCACTCACGGATCTGCAATTATTATTCGTGACATTCTCGACGATGCACACACGCGGAAAGCGCACTTACTATAATATTATACCACAGTCATTATATATCAACATAATAGTGGTGGTCATTCGCTTAATATTAAATTTATTATAAGTAAAAATTTAACATAATACAATACACTTATAATATACATAGTAGTTTTAATCGTAAATAGTATCGTTATTTCGAATAAAATATATTATTGAAAAAAAAATGTAATTTTACACGCAAAAGTCGTAATAAAAGATGGCTATATAATATAAATTAATATGTTTACAATAATAATAATAATAATAATAATAATAATTTATCGATATATATAATATAATGGTATACATTTATAATATTTCTCCTTAATTTTGTTTTAGTACTCATCCAAAATATGATACTATATATATATATATTATATTCTGAACCATAATACAGCATTAAGAGCGTATATAGGTAAATACTTGGTATAATAAGTAAACTTGTAAATTATGTACAAACGAAAAACTTTTTTTTTTGTTCATAATATCCGTTTTTCGCGTAAGGCATCTCGCGAAAGAGTGAGTGTTATACCATATATTTGTAAATATATATACACACATATATATATAATATATGACACAGAATTTTGTATGTATTATATAATATATTATAATTGTATATACACGTATATGTAAAAAAAAAAAAAAATACAAATTTCTTAAACTTATATGACATAGTGCATCATAGTAATTATGGCTGTGAGGTGGCGAGGGTGGAAACAATTGTGGACAACGTAGATAAGGTTAGGGACGTGGTGGGACTTTACTGAAAAATATTATCATGAAGATTATTTTTTTAAAATCGGTTGTGGGAATGATGACGCATTGACACGGCTTCCGGATCCGGAAAACTACACGGATTACAATAATATATATTGTACATCGATTAAATCCTAGCGATCGGTAGGTAATATATTATTGTTTGAGTATAGTATATAATAGGTAAGTCGCAATCGCAACACCCCCTCACGTCGGTGTTGCACGGAACTACGGTAAAAAGATGCGTCCGTCTCCTGCTATAATTATACGGTTAAGTCGAATGGAGTTTGAGGAAGAAAAACTTTGGCGTGGGTTGAGAACGGGGGTGGGGGTCAGGTAAATCGAGTAGACCCACTGCAGTGACGCGATCGGCGCGTTGAACAAATCATTTGGTACAACCGACCGAAATCGTTACCCGCTGGTGCGATATATGTGTTTGGCTTAAAAACGATCGGTGTATGGGACTAATATGATGACTTATGATGATGCTAATACTTAATGTATATCGGTTTTTGGTTTAACTATTATGTTTATCGTCTTCCGATCGAATATTTTCCACTCTCCGTGGCGTCCGGATAAGATCATTGTTGTTTTGTAAAATCGTTTTAGTTTAACATAACACTTAAAATATTATAAGTTATTATTAAAATCGAAAAATTACGAGTTTGTGTGTTTGTGTGTTGTGTATGTGTGTTTTTGGTGTGTATATATGAGATGTATCGGTATTAGCCCCACTGCCATTTAGGTGGATTTTGGACATTAGGTACCTATATACAAAAAAAAAAAAAAAAACTTATAAAAACTTTTTTGACGGAAAAAACACATTCAGTTACATATTACGACCTGTTTCGTAAATTATAATAATGTCGCGTCTATAAAAAAAATGAATATAATAATATTATTTTATCATGTACAGCGGGTTGACTTGTTTTTGACGAAAAACAAATATTTACACGTCTTTTTCAAATCTTTTTATAATGTAATATTATAACTTAAAAAAAAAAAGAAAATCATAAATACATATCGCGGCTTAAATTATATTAATATTATATGTCGCGTGTTAGTATATAAATACGGTGGTGGAACGACGACTACAAAACGTATTAATCATTATTTATAACATTAAGAAAATAGGTAGGTATAGCGTAAGACTAAATATTAAAAAAATGTTTAAAAAAACGGTTAGTTAAAACTCTAATGGTGATATATTATATTATTATATATAATAAAGGATTTGAAAAATAATAATATAAGTGTATATATAGTTAGAGTCTAAAAGGTAGTTAAATTTATAAGACGGATGTTAGTGTTTTTGAACGCGTCTAAGAAGTAATACTGCCTTAAACCTGTAGAAAAAGCATTTATTTTTTATCAACTTTAGAGATGTTAAGGTGTAATGTTAATTACTAAAAAAAATATGATAAACGAGTTTATATGTATATCAGCTACTAATATAATATAACCACGTGACTCGTATTATAATATTATTATGTAGATTAATGCGGATTCCTTACCGTCGGGCCGGTCTTTCCTTGGACCGAATCTCCTCTTGGTCCCATCGGGCCCTACGTATATGAACAATAAAATAAACAGAAGAAATTCGATTTTAGCACACTGCGCATGGTAATAATAATAATAATAATAATAATAATGACATTGCAGTGGGGCTGCGATTGGCCCAACAACAGCCGCTGTACGATATACTTACGGGTAAACCCATCGGACCGGGATCGCCTTTGGATCCTTTTTCACCCTATAAAAATTAAAAATGATTAAATCGATCGTCACGTGCCTTTGTATATTGTTTTCCAATAATTATTTCAAAACACGCATTTTGATATCATTTATTATTAACACTGGTCGTTTAAAACGGTTCTATATTTTGTTCCAAATAGTTGATATTATTATAACGAACGTAACGAATATAATTAAAATACCCAAAAATGTAGTAAACATTTCTCTTAAATAAATAATAAAAAGAAAAATGAACCTTTTTCATGTTGAATTCTTAACCAATTCTTATTATGCATAACATAAATAACTTTACGATTCTCTGAATTTTTACAAATACAAAATTTAAAACAAAAATTAAAACCCTCATTCAAGTAATATTAATATATTATCATATTATTTATTCATACTCATTTTTATATGAGGTGCCTGTGTCATAAAAGTATAAAATAAATAATAATATTATTCAAACAGTCGTCTAAAATAGTACTCTACATTACAGTAATACGATTTCATAGACTATAAAAGAAAATTAAAAGAAAATATTATTTTTTTATCGTAGTGATCAACCATATACTAACCTGTTGCTTAATAATATATATACTATTATAACGTATGTATCGCACCCACTTCAAAACAAATGTTGTAAACACGCAATGTTGCGATATAAATTTGTAAAACTTTTAAATGATGTGATTGAATGTTTGATAAATTATAGTACGTACCTAAGTAATTGTGAGCAATAGAATCAAAACTAGACAACAGCTGTGAATGAATGAGTACCGTTTTCGAAAACTTAAGTGGACCCAAAACGACGACGGAAATATTATATTACATACTTTGCAAATTATATTAATCGTGAATTTTAGGATATTTGTTCGGTCTCTTATTTATAATTATTTATGTATGGTGTGGACAGTGCCACTAGTGGACACTGCCTATTTGGTATTTCAAGTTTGATTGTATCGACTGACCATGACTATAAAATATTTCAGGTTATATAAAATATACCTAACCCCTACAAATTTGTCAGTGCAATAGGTACAATACCACCGCAAATAAATTTAAACAAACATTAATATCGATTAAAATATTATATTATTATATTATCAAAAACTGCTGATGGTATAACGTCGAGAGAGACCATGCAAAGTCAAATATACTTTGAAGAAAAAAGGTTTTTTTTTACAAAAAATTATGTTATGTATTTGGTTTGTTCTTAATCGAATAATACTTTTATTGCAAAATATGTATTAAAGACCTTGAAGTAAAATCAACTTAATTCATTTTCGTTTATATTTTTGATAAACTTAAATTTCATATTGGAAGTTATAATAAAATTCTCAATAAAATTTCAAGTCGATCACGATAGACCGCATTGAATGTTACATAATATCAGTACTGAGTAGGTTATGTATGACAAAACGACTTATAAATTAATATAATTTAGGTCTGTGGTCCGTGTCACTATATTATGTGTAGTTTCGAATACGGGTAACGGGTATAATATCTACATGATGTTTACAGGCGTAAAACATAAAGGAATAACAAATTTATAACGGTTTTGGAAATGTAATAAATATTCTCACTTCTCGGTGAATATTATAATTGAGTTGCTCATTTTGCAATGCAATAATCGCCTTAAATATTATTTAGCGTTTGACGGGATTACCGCGACGTGGATATAGCTACTGCTGGCGGTCATAAAAACGACGTGTGCGTTGTGCATATTATATTTTTATTATAAGTATTCCAAGTACACCATATTATATGGCCCAGGCTAGCCACCAAGGTACCTCCATACTGACTGGACGTCGCGAGATTATAATACATAATATTATTATCGTGGCTATCGATTTTTCGTCGGCCAGGAAGCTGTGTACTATTACTGCAGCGTGTGTCCGAAACTATATTATTATCACCACGACGTTTCAACGTTTGGCCGTTGGGAAATCGGACGGTAAAAATATGCAATCGCAGAATAAGTCGTCCCTCCGCAAATCGTGAGTGGAATAATACCGGTCGACGCCCCCCCCCCCCCAGCACCACCACCTTGGCTTGCAGATATTCGTTGTTGATTGTGCTACGTCGGCGTTACACAATATTATGTATATTATATTATGTACCTATAATATTATATTATACGTATTTTGTGTTGGTAAATTTTACCGAATGTTTTGCAGTTTAAAAAACCTGTATATTGTATTGAGCAAGTGCATTTTTGATAAACTAAAAAAGTGGACATAAACTACGCCACGTAAAAAATAATAAAAATAAATTTATTTGTCGATTTTATAGGTTGAATTTAAAAACAATTACAACAGCTAAATGTGAGTAATATGAATATACGATAATAATAACGGAACAACACTACAAAGTCACTGAAAGTTTTGTCTGCTAGTCTGAGGTGTCCATTATTCACAGCGTTAAATTAGTAGAAGGGTTGTACTTTGTTCCCTCAAAAAACGTCTAACATTTGGAGGAGTTCGTTAAGAGAGATTTCACTGTATTTTGGAAAAACATTTATCCAGACAACGTTTTAAAGCCAAAAGTAATCGAATATATAAAAATCAATAGCATTATGATTTATAAGGAACTATATTGATTCGATAACGCTCAAAGCTATAAATATTATGAATATTACTACTTTTCCAAACACAAACATGTGTAATGGGTAAAATAATTATTACCTCTTAGATAATATTTTGAAATCGATCGGCGTAATCCTTCCTGTTATCTCATTTAAAATTTTTACATGCTATTTCCGGTACGATTGATCTCCATTTGTAAAGACTACGCGAGTCAATAATTCAGTATAGAAATTCAGGAAAATCGATATTTTTCTGTGGTACGTGGGGTGATTAAAGATAAATAACGATAATAACCCATATTATACGAACAATACGAATAATATTATCCATACAAGTTATTGTTAAATATATAACTAATATTGTAACACATTTACACAACTACACATTACACAAATAGAGAGGATTTCCGATTTTTTTTCCGACGCACGCTGTATAATTAATGTATAAATATGAGTATATGACACACTCATGTATAAAGTATGGTCCGCAGGACTTAGGTATTAAAGCGTTAACGTATATGAAATTCCGTACATATAATATATAAAATAACGGATTATACACATTAACTTTAACACGCGTGCACTCATATACATAATATACACATTATAATACCCGTAAGCGCGACTTATGTGTGTGTTTGTGTACAGAGATATTAGGACTATTTTCTTTTTTTTTAATATAAGATATTAAGTATACCTATCAGTATTATAATTTTTTTTTTTCAACAGGTATGTGTTTATATCGTGTAAGGTGTATTTAGAGTTTTAAATTTATCATATTTTCAAAAAAATCACACGCACTATTCATAACTATTTATACAAATCGTTGTGAAGTAAAATAAAAATATAAAACTTATAAACGTTCCGAAATATTATTATGGCGACTCGCTTGCCCTGTACACGCGTGAAATTCGTTACAGAACATTTAAAATGCAGGACGTGGAAGGTGCACAACATTTTAAACACATAAAATATAAGCTTTTTAATTTTTCAAACATTTAAAGCGCCCTTAAAATTTGATAAGCGCAAACAATGTATCGATAACACGCAACGAATGCAGCAGCGCACCAGTATATTATAATATAATATATACTTCAGAAGATCAATTAAGGTATTCGAATGGTATATTATATTATTATACGACACATCTCATTCGTAGAAATAATAACAATATAATATTATGTGTCTTATGTTCTGGAGAAGATAATAATTGTATACATCAAGCGTGCATTATTACTTATTAGGTATTATTTACTCCGATCAGCCGTCTTTTATGAAAACATTTCTACTTCCCAGAACGTTGAACACACGCATCGTTATTCAATATATTTTTAATATTTCTCCGGAAGAGTACCAAACGATTAGTGTTTTTTAAGAACATTTCGAATTCCAGGCGAATACATTAGTATATTAGTGCAATATTATGTATTGTATAGCTCAAGTGTTTTTTCGGTAAACTAAAAAAAGCGAACTGCCCCACATAAAAATGAATTATAAATAATTAATTTTTTGAATTTACAAGTTGACTTATAAAAACAATAACAACTAAATACAGGTTTTATAATATGAATAATACACACGTAGCACGTACACACGATGTGGGTAGGTACCTACTCCGTCGACGATGTGAGCTCATAATATTATTATGATTATGATTATTATTATTGTATTATATTATAGTCATTATACTACAGGTAACGTGGTTACGTGCGAGACGTTATGGTATAAAAGTCCGTCTGACTCGGTCGATATCTGACAAACATTGGGTAACTAAATACTAGGTACTGAATCAATTTGTTCCAGACATTTTAATATCCGGTTCGAATGAAAAAAAAAGATTTAATTTTCTTCTTCCGAATAACCTGTCGACTGTCAGCCAATTGCCTATTATTGGAAACATAATTTAAACGCTATACGTATACTACCAATCCCCATATAAACATATGTATGTATATAATGCTTATGGCGTAACGAGTTTTTCAGTCACCTCTCACAGTTATTTCAAATCAAAACATGAGTTTTATCTTAACTAGATACATAGTAATTATCTTTAATGACACACCTATATTGTACGGTGTTAACTCAAAAGAGCTCTCAGAAACATAAACTGGGGGGGGGGGGGAGTCGAAAATATCCGATAAAACAGTATATACTAGTTTTTTTGTCTTTATAAGTGATAAAACAATTAATATACTAAATAAAATAGAGGGGAGGGCATGCCACCCGGGCAAACCCCCAGGAGGTGCTCATGGTTTACGTCTATTCCAACTTATAATTATTATAATAATACATTAGCAGGTGCCTAAAATATTGTACAATTTACAGCCTTTGTGATTAGCTGCAAATTTCAAACTGTTTACAACACCGTATATAATGTGTTAAAATAAATGTTACCATTCTATATCGATCGAAATTTAACGGTACTAAATATTTACAGTGTGTATGTATTATACTAACAAACGTACACTACACGGCCGCAATAAATCAATTGTTACAACAGCATAATTTTACACTTAAAAAACGGAAATAACTCACTATTTCGCCTTTGTCGCCATCTTTGCCTCGTTCGCCCTTAATGCCGGGAGGACCTATGTATCCAACAATAATAAAGCATTTTATTAATGTCTTTGTTAAGTTACACAAAATTTGTAAAATGTGTGTGGACGTACCTTGCAATCCAGCCGGCCCAGGTGGTCCGGGAGGTCCCACTAACTGCTGTTCGGATTAAAAAAAAAATCACATTAATGCTTACGAAATTGGATTAAAATTTCAAAAAAAAGAATGTTTTACATTAACATGGTACTTACCGGTTCATTAATCGTTTCGAAAGCGCCGTCGCCTTGGAACTGAAAAAAGTAGAATCGAAATGTCACATATTTGTAAAAGCATATTATTATTATAAATATTTCTCCAAGATCGCGTTTTCCGAAAGCCGTGTACTGAGTTATGGTTTCGCAAGGTTCGACAATTAAAAAATAAAATAAACGAACTGTGTTCCACAAGCTTGGTGACAGAATATAAATTATTTTCGTCGAACAAAGAAACCCTCTAGAGGGGAAGTTGAAGCAGAGGAGAGAACTTAACGCATAGGTACCTAATAATAAAAAAAGTGATACTATAATTCTCAATTGTTTTGATCCTACAGAGATACTCCAAATCCAGACAAGTATCGTCATAAATTGATATATTTAGGTTAGTGTCGCTTATAATAATAGTTCATATCAAAGTTTCAATAAAATTTAAGTTAGAAAAAAATTGTTAAAACAAAATTGAATTACACATATTGTTTTGTGGAGATATGAAGTTATAGAAGCTAAACCGAATATGCATAAAAAACTATTCAAAAATTTAAAAAACGATCACCAATTAATATCGTTTTTTTTTAATCATCGTTGTTCAAAATAAAGTTTCAGATTGGTCCGCTGAAAAACGTAAGCCTATAAAACAATAATTTGAAACTTCTAATACAACTTCCAAGTCCTAATCACAGTGGTTTAAAAAAAAAGGACGCGTGGCTAGATGGAAAATTTTCAGTCAAACTCACATACAGAGTAACCACAAAGTAACCTACGTACATGTGAACTGACGAGTTCCATGCAGTCACAAGTATCGCATAAAGTCGAGTGTCATAAATGTCATTGGTCATAAAGACCGAGTGCGTGTCTTACAAAAGGTCAAGTGTTACGAAATTTTATTTTAACATATCATTATAAATCGAGTTTTCTACACTTTAAAAGTGCATGTGGCTGCAGCGGCTATGAGTTTATAAATAATTGTGTCTGATGTATATATAATATTATGCGCAAGATGAAAAAGGATTAGTCGCTGAATTCTTTGGAGAGCGTTTCGGTTGATGCTGTATTTATTTTATCACTGACATTTGATATTACAGTAAATTATATGTTAGTCAACATGAAGACGAAAAAATTGAAACATAACATTTTTTCTGGAAAATCAGTATTTAAATCGGTTATTTTTTTTTTAATGACATAATATACATTTTTATATAAATTCCGAGAAAAATGTGTTTATTTTACATTTGCTGTACATGGAATTACCGTATAATGTAAATCTACTAAAGAATAGGTACTTTTTTTTACGACCGCAAAAAGTAATTCGGTGATCGGGATGAGTTTTTTAATTAGTTTCAAAAGCAGATCAGAATCAGTGGACGGCCAGCATGTTTGTGGATAACGCCTACAGACAAAAACTCATAATTTTTCACGTCACGCGTACAATACGAGCAGTTTGTTCGAAATATGTGCGCAAGACGTTGCCAAAAAAATGTCACAGGATCGGAACCATAAACACGAGGAAGGAAAAAAAGTCACGCGCGTTTCGCACTCGGGAAGTTATGAGCAAAGTTTGGACGAGAAAAGTAGACAACCCCCCCCCCCCCCAATCCCCTGGCTAAGGAGTGGAAAAAAATATCGTTTTGCGAACATACGTTGTATACACATATTATATATAGCGGCAAGAACGCCCGTTTCTTAAAACGTTTAGAAGAAAAATAAGTATATTGTAAAAAAAAGGAGTAAAAATCAACACTCACTTGCCGTCTTCTGATCTTCTTGTTGTTGTATTTCTGAAAACAAAACAAAAACGAAATGTTAAGTACAAAATACAACAATTTAATTTCGACTATGACGTTCAGCAAGTATAAATTCTTAGCAGAAAATCGTCCATGATGAGAAAAAAACATTTACACATATCCGCCAATAATAGTCATATTATTAAAGATTAAACGTATTTGTATACTAACCGACTCGCCTTTATCACCTTTGTCGCCCTTTTGTCCTGGATATCCCTGTTAGACAATTTACATTATTACACACTTAACGAAACGATAGAATAAAATGATTGTAAGTATACTGACTATATACATGACACATTGCACACAATTATGCTTTTCGTCGTTAAAACTAATCTTAAAAAATCAAGATTCCGATTTTCTTCAGTTACATTATGTGTAACACAGGAGACACTTATTGTGCAACATAATATCTGGATTTTATTTTATTTTTGATGCTCATAATATATTTTTTTGGAGCTGTTACTCGAAAACAATTATTGTTTTGATTCTACACGAATATTGTTTAAACATTAATATAAATTATCCAGTCTCTTGCAGGGTTTACTAGCTATAAACAATTAATAATGGCAAATTCTTTGAATTGCGGGCTTTCAATAACAAAAGCTTTCAACTTCTCTTAAAATGCTATGAAATACGAGAGGATCGTATTATATAATTACAGTCTATAAACGTTCGTTACAATTATAATTAAATGTATAGGATTATTTATATTATATAATAGTATACAGGGTGATTTATTAAGCATGTTCTCTCACACATTTTTTCTTTGAAAGTACATTAATTAAATTCTGACTTTTAGAATTTTTAAGTATACCTAAATACCGTATTATTTTCAAATTTTTTATATATTTCTTATAATACAGTAAAACGTTTAGATAGCGGACATTCAGGGGACCGACAAAATTGTCCGCTATTGGGAAAAATTAATAAAATAATATGAATGTATTTAAGTCTGAAAATTTAAATTGTATTGACTTTTTAAAAAATATCTTACTTTAGGTTTATCATAACATAATTTACTACAATTATTTAGATGTAACAAAATACATTATACAAAATTACTTATTGAAAAAAAAATCTGAAATATAAGTTTGTTTTTTTTCTTGTATTGCAATTTCCTCAAAATTAGACTGGAGTTGGTTAACTATTGACAATAAAACTGCATCATAATATCATGTATAATAATATTGTCATAGTACATATTTTATTGCATGTACAATAAGTTCATATTTTTTGAATAGCTGTCCGTTAGTAGATATATTGAAACACTTCTAACTACCTAAACCTATCCGCGTCCGTTATTCAGAGGTGTCCGTTATTTAGAGGAGCATTATCCATTATTTTCAACGGGACTATGCCGGGACCGGAAATTTTGTCCGTTATTGAGAAGTGTCCTCTAATTAGAGATGTCCGTTAAGAGAAGTTTCACTGTACCCAAGTAGTGTCCTGTGCTGATACAAGCCTCTATTTTTAAAATGAGAAACCCCCTTTAAAATAGAATTAGAGTGGCTACCATTTGAAAAACAGAAGTTTGTATTGTCACAATTCCATAGTGTCAGTGGTACAAAAAATCTCAAAGACTCGAAAATATGATCTCCAAGTTTATTGAAAAATGCCAAAAGATTAAAATTGTTATACATGCATGACATAAGCATAAAAATAGGGTGAACATGCTTAATAGTCACTGGCCCTGTATATATCGGGGGTTAGGTACTCTAAATTACATGGAATAAAATAATCAAGATAGTCATATTTTAGTCAATACATCTTACAACGTCAAAATAATATGATAATATATACACCGTGATAATAAATATTAATTCATATTTATATTGATAAGATATATATACTTACAGGTGGACCTGGTAAGCCCGGAGGTCCCATCAAACCGGGAGGTCCAATGTCTCCGTAATCTCCCTTTTCACCTTTAGGACCCGACGTGCCCTACGAATAACAATAATATTATATTTAATGATTACATTGGATGGCGGGCAGCGTTCAAGACAACAAACTCCGAGTTCGAGCATATATTTAATACCGAGATGTTATCATTTTAATAGCACGGTTTTGCCTATTATTGTACTTATAGCAGGTAAGGGTATATAATATCGAATTTCATGCCGAACGATACTACATTTCGTGTGCTCAAAAAACACGCGGTGGACGAACAATTATTGTTAATATAAACGCAACCACGAACACGGTAACGGTTTGTATACATAAGTCGGCGCCACCGCGACTGTCAAGCTTGATAATATTTTTGTTAAGAATAGTATTTGAATAAAAAATTTAGAACGCATAACGAATTCTTCGATACCCGCAGCGCAGCAAAAGTCGTTCGTCAAAAAACCGTGGAAAAAAGTATGAAATCTATGCGAATATCCGAATTTTTTATTATTATTAGGCAACGCGGATCGGAACGTGTTATTTTTAAATCGACCATTGATGGACCCATCGAAGCGATTCAACTGGTGTTATACTTGCGCATGTCAGACGCGATTATGATTACCTATAATATAAATATAAATATAGGTATCATTTGTCTGGACTTTATCGGATAACGTACAGCGTAGATAACATTATAATACAATTTATTTTATAAATAATAAGAATACAATACAGTTGGAAGAGATAGAATTTGTACGCCATTTTAGCAACGATTCAAGTCTGCGTATATAGTAATCGGGCTAAAAGTGAGCGCAGGGTCGAAATAGGGACGGTTGAAACGCGCGAGCAAACGAAAAGCTTCGTAAGCGTACATTACTGTTATCGCAACGAGCTTAATAATATTAAATATAATAATATACTTATTATATTATTATATTGCGACGCAGTCAAGCGAACCGTTTCGAATTGTCGGCTTGGGTGACAGCACCGAGCGCTGAGTCGATTATACGAGTTTCGTAAAGACTTTATTAAAATTAAGTATTATCGCGCGAGCAAGCGGGTGTGTGCGAATTGTGTGTGTGGTGTACTTACTGGCAGGCCGGGAGGTCCTTGGGGTCCCGGTAAACCTGGTTCCGAGATACCGTCCGTACCGTTGTGACCTGGTAATCCTGGAGAATAGCGAGTGATTATAGAAAACAAAAAAAAACAAATAACCATTTGACACAGTTCCTTGACAAACCGTTAAGCGATATCATAATATAATAAAATCTTGGTATATTATTACTACACACAATACAATAGTAATAATAAAAATAATAACAACAATATAAAGTAGCAGTCGGAAGACGACTGTGTGAGAACAACGCAAATTTGTATCGATCTAAACACATAAAATATTCGCTACGTGGTAATAAATTGTGTACACAGAGAATAAATAAAACATCATAATAAATAATATATATAAGTATATAACACATCGAGTTCAGGTATAATAATAGGTATAATATTATAAGTACGTAATCTTCTACCACGTGCACAAAAAAAAACAAACAAAAACTACTACACTATTTATACGTCACTACATAAACATACGCAGGCGAGTACACGCACTAACTACACGACTTGCACCATACATTTAAACGCGGGAGCGGATCTAGGAATGAAAAAACTAGGCGGTGAAATATAAAATATGTCCCTATAAAATAATTTGTCCTAAATCCTAATATAATATAACATTATACATGGTATAAATTAAACCAGATACACGATGTGGAGGGTCAAGACGAGGTTCAAAAATCCATCATAGTAATCTTGGTCTTACAGCGGATAAAGCACAGACATTTCTATACCGATGTTTGAATTTTAAAATTATCTTAAAAGATTATAAGAGGTAGTACAAATTATCCCCATATAAAATATCGTAGATAGTTAATTTCAAATACCAATTATAAATTATTACATATCTTTGTGAACGAACTCATAGACGAGAAAAGTGTAATTGAAATGGTATATTTAAGAAGGTAGATTCAACCCCCACCGTCTTGTCTTCCCACTATATCCGCTCCCGTACACACGCGCACATGTATGTGAGTGTATATGTATGTATTTATAAGCATGCACAGGGTTTTCAGAATAGTTTCTCAGCACAAACATTTCTCGCAGCCTACGCCAGCACTCAGCACGATGCTCATAATATTATATAGCTCACACACACAAGTACAAACGTCGTGATGATCATGATCACGACGATCGTTATAATCATCTAATTGTGTGATATCGTACGATTTATAGGTAGTATTTTATAAATAGAATAATAAATTATTATTACTCGGGCAATTCACAATAATATATTATATTATTATTATTTATTATATGTTCGAAGTGTGTGGGAGTAGTTATCGATTAATTATTTTTCCAATTTTACGCAGCTCCCATTTGGCGATTATTAATAATTAACAACCAGGGTGATTCTCCGAGCATTGCCACCATTTTATTTTTGATTATTCGTTCATTCTAATTTTGATTTTTGAATAATTTGTGTTTATATTTTAAGACTAAGTGAATTTTAAAATACTTAGATTTCTTATGGTGTTTTAGCCTTTAAGATAGTATTGTGGTGAAAAAATATTATCTTCTTACTGCATAACGTTTTGATTTAGATTTTATACTATTACATCACAATGTTCAAAAACAAAATTGTCTAGACAATAGTTTGCAGTGAAAAAGAATTAGGGAAAATAAAGTAGAGTGTATAAGCAGAAACTGCTTAAAAGACATATACGAAAACCGATGTTTTTGAAAATATGGTATCTTAAATAAGTCATCTACCTACTTAAAAGTATCCACAATTATTACATTTTGAATAAATGCAGTATAAAATTATAAAATTGAGGTGATCGTGATTGATGAATCGCTCTGTATGTGCAAAATATACGAATTCGAGTGTAAAGAAGTATATAATATAACGTTGGTACACTGTTCCATATATGCCGGATAAATTCTACATTGTGAATTAGCTGTTACGGAGAGTACAAGTCAATATCGTAGCACAGACGTTGCTGTGGACAATCACTGGCCCTACGTATCAGATTTTAATATCTCCACCCTCACATGTTTCGCTCATCGCATGCACCGGTGATATTTCCTCGAGGACCGTCGCGCCACATCGAAATATCGATATTGTTTACAGAAACATTGATCACCTTCGAGAAACGCCCACCAACCCGCAAAATATATAACGGTAAGAACCCTATGGAAACGTGCAAACAAGTACACATTCATAAAATTTGCATTGTGACATTAGATGCGTCATCGGCGCATGCATGTCGGCCGTTGTCGCCGTGTGCGTGTACGACACGGGTCCAATGTAAGTTCGGGCTATAGAGTGTCAATCGATATCATTTAATATAAATGTATAAATCGTGTCTGTTTTTTTTTAAATTCCTTTACCCTTTTTCCTCTCTTCCCTCGACCTTTTTCGCCGGGGGGTCCAGGCGGCCCTACGGGGCCCAGATCGCCTTTTTCGCCAGGCAAACCGACCGGACCTTGAAAATTACAAGCAACAAACAAAACACATGTGTGATCATCAGTACGCTACGACTATAAAGTATAAAATATATTGTACTGTCCTGTGTTTAAGTTATAAAATATTACTCGCATGCTGACCTCCACGACACCGCAGCTGTTCAATAATGAGTGCTGCAGGTCCGACAGATAGCAAAACGAATAACGTATATGGTCTATATAGTGTACATATACTCGTATTGTATAAGATTCTATAATGGCAAACGACATAAAAACGATAACACGGAAAGATATATCTACAGAAAGTGTGTTCCCGGCGGTCGTTTTTTTAAACATTTGTTCCGGATAAATAATATACCTAGGTGGTACTGTATACAACAAAAGCATTTTTTTTATACCGACACCATTAAATAAATTGTTTCAAATATAATTGAAAGTTCAGTAGAGCAAATTGTAGACCTGGGAATCACACTCTGCTTGAGCATTACTCCGTAGATACATATAAAAGATTTGTATTACTACGCTAAGTCGCTAAGGATAAAAAGTCAAGACAAAACTCTACTGCAGTACGTTAACAGTGTATACTGGATAATGTCTCGTCAAAATGTCTAGGTAAATATTATCGACAACTATTTCGTTACCAGGTGGTCCCGGTGGTCCTGGTGGACCCTCGATGATGCCTGTTGGGAATTGATCGCCTTTTAACGTCGTCGTCAATCCTCGATCACCCTTGTCACCTCTGAGACCCTTTTCGCCAATTGGCCCAGGTAGACCAGGTGTGCCCTGAAAAAATTAAACAAAAATAAAACAACCCTACGATTAGTACAGTTTGTTCACAGAACAGCAAATAAGATAGAGAAATATTGTTAAAATCCGTATGTAATATAATTTATGATTAATTAAAAATAAATTATAACAATAAAAGTAAACTTGACTGTCAAAATATACTTAAGTTCTTCGCTAAAACTAAACAACAACATAATTCCATTACAGCTATCGAAAAAATACCTAGGCATTAATGCATTTACTAGATAAAAGATTAGTCAGGTCAAACCACACAAAGAAAAAATAAAATCAACTAAACTTTCAAGTAAATTTACATCACCATATTTTAAAACCAAACAAGTCTCAAAAATGAAATGTTTATTTAGAAATCAATCATCAGACCAGTATGGTCATATTATGTTATCCAAATATGGCGCCTGAAAAACCTGGAGACAGTCGATTACGTCTCAAATCAAATTCAGGTTATGACATTTTTTTTATATTTTGTATGTTCTAATTACGTCCTATTATAAAATATGTAAAAAATTATATTTAGTCTAGAATCTAGATGCTTATTAATTTTAAAATCAATAGGTTTTAACTTTTAAGTTAAATAATTTTGATAATTGTTGTTTTTAACATTGCTTATTTGATTATCAATAAATTATTGTTTTTTAATAATTGCTATGAATTTTATAGGTATTAAATTCTGACTAATCGTATTTATATAGGAATAATACCCCGGGCCAATACAAATTAAAGACACGCTACATACTTTTAATTTATCTGACTTATAGGGACGAAATCCAAACAACGCTGAAGAAGTATAAAATATCGAAATGAGACGCAATCGGATAACGCCCGGAAATCCGGAAAAAGACCGTCCTGTTCTCCTTTATAAGCTTTTAAATCCATAGACACCTATTACAGGTGTCCCATGGTGCGTGATAAAGGCTGCCTTTCGACATTTTAAAAATATTAACAAAAAAACGTCAAACAGTTAATCAACTTGCAAAAAAGCATTGTGAACATTTCCACTCAGAGTTATCAAACCACTACAAGTCCCAAATCAATTCATTAATATAACAAGTGATCTCTTCCATAACCTCAAAACATTCATCATCGTCTTGAAATAAATTGGTCCAGAGACAAGTAGTTATCTTAACAGTTAAGCTATAGTATTCTGACTTTGAGGTTCTATATAGTAACAGAATGATTTAATTTAATACATTTAAAATTTAAATATATTATTTAAAAATAAAAGTATAAACGTATTTGTATTATTGTATTAATTTAAACACAAAATCAGACTAAAAAACCAACAGTTTATACCAACTATTTATTTTCCCACAAGTGTTTATTATATTTTCAGTTAAATTATAAAATCAAAAACTCCGTATTATAACAAATAATAATAGACACCACAATTTTATGAAAATCGTAGGTACCTGTACATATGTGTATAATATCTTGAAATCACTACTCTGATAAATATGTGTGTGTAAAGTTATTAATTAAAGTGTCATAAAAATAAAATAATAAAATACAATCTCTAAAAAACTTTTTAATTATGAAATAATTGACATGTACTTTTAAAATCTTAGAAACCAACATGTCTTGTTGAAGATATACCCTTCACTTTCAAACGCAAACACTCAAATCATTTTTTTACGAGTTTGTTTTCATTCCTCACTGCCACAATTCATTTTCATTAGTGAAATATCAAAATAAAATAATAATAATCAACCAAATTTTAGTTTAGTAAAAACTAAAATAGAAGTAGGTAAATGAAAACGTACCTGCAGCCCTTGTTCTCCTCGGTCACCCTTCGGTCCAACCTATATTAATGGGTAAAAAAACAAGTTTTTTTAGTCAAATGTATATATAATAATATGCGTTTGTACTATCATATCATGTTCCACAAAACTAGAAAATATAATACTACAGCTATAATATACATAACCACGTGAAGTGGTGATATATATAACGCGTTTCACTATACAAAATAAATGTATAATATGTACATTATTTTACACAACGCGAATGATTCAAATTTATACTCGCATACCATGACACAATATAATTATTGATTATTAAATCTACATTTATTTCATTTGTGTGTCGGCGTATACAGACGTACAGCGGCGAAGGAATACTGTACTATTTTTTTACATCAGGTCACCATAATTATACCGCTCAGATACTATTAATTAGATGTACCTACCTACTTATAATATTTGGTTTAGATATCGCGTCGTTGTCCGTCTTGCTCGAATGTGTGAACGAGACGCGAGCGTGTAACGAACCCCCTACAGTTTATAATATAGGCCACGGGTGTACATTTACTATGTGATATTTATGTGACTATTATATAATACGACCCCTTATTTTCCAACCCGTCCGTGCTTGTCGGCCCGTAAACCACAACTGAGTAAATATTTTCTTGTGTTCCCCTTCTTCTCCACCACTACCACCTCCTCCTCTGCTACAGATCTAGAACTCGCCAACGATCTCCCCACGTTATAATATTCTTTCGCTTGCACCGTAGTACTCACACAAACACACACGCGTCATCGTACTATTTATGTGTACGTAATTCTTTGTAAAAATGCATTTTTTCTATCTTTTTTTTTTGTGGCGGCTTCGGTGCATTTACACAATAGTTATACGACGGACGACCGTCACGCTAAATCCGGCCTTTTTTCTGCTATTTCTCTGCTTTTTCTATATTCACAGGCTGGTATTCAAGCCGCCTGGTGCAGCCCATTGCACTTGCACCACAACCATCTCTCCTCGTGCACGACAAATACGCATTTGCCGCCTCGTCGTATGTATTTATTACACGCATACAAATTGTATCGAAACAAAAAAATCGAAAAACACGTCGTCGTCCAATATTACCTCGCAATGGACCGTGTATAGTGAAATTGCTACACTTCACCGTGTTCGTGAAAAGTGTTATTAAAAGTACGCGTCTGCAGAGCGTCGACTCTATGTTTGAAAATTGTAACTCATATTATTATTACTATATTAAATAAAGTCTATTTAATAACGTGAACATCAATAAATGTCTTTGGAAAGAAATAATGTCTCTGAGAATTAAAAACCTATGGGAATTATAAATTGATATTCTTGCAGCACAAATGTGGTAGGTACATAAGAAAACATTATAATAAATTAATATCAGGGATAGAACGGTATGCGGAGAATATTGATCTGTGCGAGTAAACAAAAAAAAATCGTAGGTACAATATAATAGTATACGCCTATAATAGGTTAATCAGTAATCTCTAGCGTGGGTGGAATCGAATTATTTTCGTATCGCCGCCGCCGTCATTCATTCTGCTAGATCGAAAAATTTCCGAAATAATATCAAATAATAGTTTAATATTCGACAACAGATTATCGACAACTATTCTGGAAAACCTAAATATATACCTTTATTAATTAAATAATACAAGTAAATAGTAATAATACTCTAGATAAGCGAGCTCGCTCGCGCATGTGTTATTTCATTGAGTTTGACACGATTTTTTTTGATGTGTAAGTAGACTCGTGAAAGCAAAACGGACGCGCTGTATATAGGTTTATACCTGGTATACGAATATAATTCAATATCATAATAGTATCGTATTACGCTGTTGTACGCGAGTGTGTTTAGGTATATGTATATGGAAACACAATACAAAATAATATTATACCGGGGTACTTACCAATCCTGGAGCGCCGGGTGGTCCTTGTTTACCTTCCACCTGTAATTAGTGAGAATAAATTAATGTCCAGAATTCATGTATATATTATATGCTGCGGTTATACGCAAAACGTATTTTGTATTTATTTATTTACACAAACGTTGACTCGTGTCAATTATACGTCGAGTCGTCGAGTATAATAGATAAACTAATATTAAATCGTGAAACATAAATTATAAAACGTTACCAAAAAAGATCAGTTTGAAAATTAAAATGTAAGTAGGTACCCACTAGGTTTTTGAGTGGTACCTACGTATTACTGTATTAGTGGTAGTTAATGTATATGCAAACCTAACCCGAGTTCAAATCAACTTGGTTTACAACATGCGGTTTGCATGTAAATTAACTTCCTTGCATTTTGGTATAAATGTCAAACAAAAATAACAGCCTACTAGTAAAATCAGACTTCAGATAAATCGTATAATAACGTGCGGATATTGCTTAACAAATAAGAGTTTAGAATTATAAATATTTGAATTTTCGGGGAGAAAACTAAAAAGCTTTTAAAATCCAAAAAGGTAGTGATTTTACTTGAGGCTATTTAATTACAGGCAAGCAACGTTTTGTTGAGGTATCATTTTTTGTGGTAAACAATTTTATATTAATCAGCTCCGAAATAAGAGATTTAAAATGAACAACTGAAACCAACAAAACATTTTTAAACGTGAGCAATGTTGGTCAGGTGCTGATTATTTTATGAGTAAATTTAAAATACTTTATTGCAAGTAGGTTTTTTGAAACAAAAATTTAATAATCTATACTCACTATTAACGAATTCCGGAAAAATATCATAAACGAATAATTATTGCACCATCTGTTTTTCGGACAAATCAGAGTAAATCTACAAGACAATCGTTATTTGAAAATAATAGTTTAGGTACCTTCGCCTTTCGTACTTCACAGACAAACGTATAAAAATAAAATGTTTCGTTCCCGCATATACTATATAGTGACTAACCTTGTGTTTTTTTTTCACAAAGGGGTTCATATATATACCACAGTAAATAAGTTGAGCCGGCCTTGTGTTTATTTTTTACAAGGGGTTTGTATAATAAATGTATGAACATATACATTTATGTCACTGTATAAGTATATAATATATTTAGCGACAACAAAGAATCGTATTTTAAAAACTTTTTTTTAAACTGACCATATGGTTTTTTTGAACAGATGTCGATTGTGTGGAAGTCCGTCACCTCACTACCAACCCCAACCCCCCTCCAATCACCTGCGGAGTAAAGAGCCGCTAAACCGTGTCGATGATACCAGTATCAGTTCGCGTATAATACTCGTATAATATAATATAGTACATCACATTATCGTAAGCGTTTGTTCCGATAATAATATTCAAATTTCCCATTGTACAGCAATAATAATAGTAATAATAACGGATTCATTGAACTTACCCCCATTGCTCCTTCGGGTCCTCGTGCCCCAATTGGTCCTGGCGGTCCTGGTTCTCCCGGCTCGCCCTAAAAACAAGTCGCGTTATGCACACAAATAAAGCTATTGGACAATCGACCATTGATTGGGTGGGTAGCAGGGTAGGGGACCAGATTTGTAAGTATACGTAAAAAAAAAAATAATAATATTAAAAGTAATAAACCCGATCGGACGAAATCGAATGTATAAATCGATGGAAATAATAAACCGGAAACGATTTGTCAGTGTATTATAGAAATATATACAACGACGACTACCTGCTGCTATTGTAGGTACGCCCGTCGTTATAACCAGTCAGTAGTAATATGATCTGCGCGAATATGTAAATCGCAGGAAAGATTATGAAAAAAAAAAACCTAACGATCGTGTACCTACGGCAGTTACCGTTTTGTATTATTATTCGTTGTTTCTTTTCCATGCGTTATTATTATAATTTTTTTTTTTACAAATATGGTCCATCGTCCCGCAACACGGAGGGTGTCCGGTAGTAAAATTAACTTATTAAATTTATTGAACTTTGCGGACACTCTGCAGTGTATTTATCAAAGTATAAGAAAAATAAAACCACCATAATTACGTAGGTAGTGCCACTGACCAATGTGACAGCATAATAAATAAAAGATTCAACTGTGGCTGAATACGAACATGCACGTTGTATGTATTTGTACTCACTTTAACCATGACTATGCTTTCCGCCGATATGTTATGTCCACGATCTTGTAGACCCTATAAACCAACCAGCCACCAACTACCGTAAATAAAAAAACAAAGCATTTCATGCGAAATAAAAACAAAATGGACCTAACGACAAGAGAGAAAGAGAGGCGAGAGGAAACGGAGAAAAAATTTAAAAAATAAAAATAAAAGGAAGAGTGTTTTATATATGCCCGTCGTCGGGATGATGTATATATTAGTATCATTATTATATATATACCTCCTAATCGTTTGTCCGAACGCGGTAAAATAATAAAATAAAACGCGTTCAAGGCGTATACCTAAATCGTTTTACACCGCAGCTTGATGACGACGACTATATATAATAATATATAACATCCCGAACGCGCGTATTATGTATATATTTATAGATACGTCGTAAATTTACGCTTCGACCGTATTGTTTTGTTTTTTTTTTTTTAACGTATATGGTGTCGAGACGTAGAGTAAAACCGAAACGTATATTATATGACTTTTGTGATAAACACGTTTCGGCGTAGGTACGAGATTTTCGAGGAAGTCCTGGCAATAAAGCGACGAGACGAATGCAGTGACAATAATATTTACAAGTACGATGTACGTATAATATTATCATTCTGACACGGACTGACCGAAAGACAAAAACTCCACATAACGATTGCATAAAATACATTATTCGTGTGGGACGTGGGTACATATATTGTGTCGTGTACTGTTTTGTCCGGAAACAGGTAGGTACTTCGTAAATCGTAAACATACAACACTCGACAATATTTGCGTATCAATGAGAGTGTTGTTTGAACGCATATCGTACCTAATATCAAAGTTTGCTGCTGTGTCGCAGGGGAATCGCGGGACTTACGAGGAAAAAAATGATATCCGGCTACACGAGACGGGAAAACTGAAACTTGAAAGTGTTATTAAATTAAATTCAGTTGCAAGGATGCAATACGATACAACCATTCCGAATGTTTTTGTAAAGAATAGCTATATAGTGTTTATGATGTTATTTTGTTGTTGTTGTTGTTGCTTGAAAAATTACATTTTTGAATACATCGTGAAATCTCACGTTTCATTGCTCTCTCTCTTTATACGTATACATTATAATAATATGTTATCGTCTTTTTCCAAACCACTACTTTTCTAAAAAGCCAAAATATCGCAATAAAAGGAAAAGAAAAAGTTTCAAAAATATATAAATAATAATAATATAAAATCTTCGCACACGCGCACACAATAAAATATGATAATACAATAAGTACAATCATCTATGTATACATATAATAATATATAATGTCAGCTATTATACTACATGACTACTGCTGCATAGAATATGAAAAAGAGATGACGATAGAATAATACTAATAACAATAATAAAAGTACAAAAAAACAAAGAAGTCTATATACGAAGAACACCAAATAAAAAAAAAAAGTATTTAAAAAAACCTATATCGAAATAGTTCACCTTAACGGCTACGATTTCTGCGTATCCGAGAGTACCTCCTCTCAGCGTCGTTACAGATCGTTTACTGCTGGTTCCCTGCAATAATTGGTGGTATGTTATTCACGTGTGCCGCTGTTTATACAGAGTGATTCAAGCAAACATAATGGCCCCCTTTTATCCTTGAATAATGCATTTATTCAAATTCTGATTTTTGGAATTTTTTAGTATGTCTACTTGAAAACCATATTGTGTTCAGGTACTTAGATTTTGTATACCATTTATACATACTATATAGAGTGTCATACAGCTGTACTCATGCGATGATAAAAACTTTCTTGTTTTAAATTAAATCTAATCTTTATTACTGTGAATTGTTAAGCAGATTATTTGTTTGAAAATGTTGATGCATCAAAATCGAAATTTTAAATGAGTTATTATTGTTTTCCCGAGTTATTTAAATTCATGAACAAAGGATTATTAGTCCTTAATAACGCAGGGTTTGAATCAAATATACAATGTTATGTAATATTAATTATAGTATACTTAGTGCCTCGGTAAATAATTAAAATTATAAATTACTAATTTATCAATATAATTAACTATCATTTTCAACTTCAATCATAATTTTTTCTCATTATTATCTTCTAAATCTCAATATAAATATGGACAATTTTCCATAATACTTTGAGTTAAATAATTCAGAAATTAGCCGCTGAAATTTGCGAATATCGTAATCGATTAATATATACATCAAAAATTCAATATAAAAAATAAACTGCTTTACACTTTACAGTAAAAAAAGTCCGATTTTTGTTTGAAAATTAAATTTGTACCAACACAGCCACCAGGGACACTTGTTAAATGGCATAAAAAAAAATTGAAAGGATTTAAAAATACGGTCGTTTTTACTAAAAAAAATCGTAAAATCATAATTTGTATAAATTAACTATCGTAGGAAAAAATGGGAGATGAGGATGTTTGGTGAATTGACTTTTATGTTTATAATATGTAGACAGGCTTACGGAAAAACGTAGCGGGCCGAAAGGTAAAAAAATAATACTGAGTTGAAATCAACTAGCGCGGCGCTACGCGGAAACGGATTGAGAGAATCGAAGGAAAAAAATAACCGGAAACGCCAGTCGTTCAATATACGTATATAATAGTATTCTATAGGTATTTGTGTATGCGTATAATATTGCTTTTCGCGGTAAAACCCTCTGAGACCCTGGCGTTATATTGCCTATATTACTGCATCGGTCCAGTACCCTATCTCGCTTTTATCGCGTAAACCAAAATAAAACCCCATATTATATACCTACGAAAAGCGAAAATGCATTCGGTGCAGCGTAAATAATATATAGGAACGTCGACCTTTTTTTTTCGTTGCGAACACGTATATTAACTTTTAAGTACATGATAATAAATGCGAGGACCGCTGCGGGTCAGTGATACGCGACGTTAAAAATGTAAAAGAAAAACGTGTAGACACGAGGCGAACGAGGCGAGGATCGAGGAAAACAGTGATAGGTAACAACATAATATTATATTGTAGGCGAAAAGAAAAATAATACACAATATCAGGTATATGTGTCTCGTTTTACCTTAACCGCGGCGTATATGTCGAAATTCGGCGCGCTGGAATCGCCTTTCTGTCCTTTGTCGCCCGGATGACCCTGCAAACACACGAAACATTAAATGTTTGACGTTAAACGATTTGCGGTATAATAAAACACGAATATACCAACATACATTATACACGCACACATACACACATATTATACCGCGGTACATGCGCTCCGGCTGCAGATTATACGATACCCTTTAGGCTTTAGAGCAGTTTTGCCACAAACCACAACCGCGGTATAATGAATAATTACCGCGGGTGAATGTATAAACATAAATATTATTATTATATTACGCGATAAAATAACGTTGTAATATTATAATAATATATTATAATAATGTACAATATACGTACGGGCGGAAAACGGCGGAAAAATTATGGCCGGTGAGGGTGGCGGTGGAAGTTATTTTGTAAAGGGTGTACATCATAAACAACAAAAAAGCACACATATTATACACATCGTACACATCGCGTGTATACGATATTATAAAATATGCATATGTAAACATATTATAATAATAATAATAATATAGATAGATAGGTACCCTCGAGCGGCGGCGTACTTTTACGACCGTTAAACGGTCGTATAAACGTACTCGACAGCTTTATCGCGGCGATATGATCGAACGATATGTTTAGCGTAAATCGTACGACGTATACGCCATATATATATGACCGTAATTTTGAGGTTCCGGTGTGAAAATATCTTAGGACTCAGAAGCCTTCACCCCATCGACATACCTATGTGCAAATAACTCAACTCCCCAGCTTAAAATTAACCCCCCCCCCCCCCTCAAAAAAAAAAATAATAATAATCAATAACTGCAATATAGGCACCCTTCATTTTTTTTTAATTTTTAACAGATGCGAGGCCCAATTACATGATTTAAAAACACTTGTTCAAAACAATTATTTGGTATATGGTCGCGCGTAGCTAAACTTCGTAAGACAAACAATTATTATAGACGATCAAAGATTGTTTAACTTTTCAAGCGTATTTCAATATAGGGGAAAATCACCGTAAAAATTTTTAATAAATGTTATTTATTGTTTACATAGGCATACATTAATAACTTTTAATCACTTCATCAACATTTTAATTAAAACCAACACATTTTCTAATATTAACAAGTTCTTACTAACAAAGTAACAACAAACAAATTTCAATCAGAAAATTATTATTGATTTACTCTTCTATTGGCAAACTCATAAATTATTTTATTCATGTCTAATTATTTGTTCTCTCACCGTTTCACACAAATATACAATGTGTCAATGTAGGTAATGTGTTCAAAATAAACACATGTTATTTGCAATAAACTGTTGATACTTTTTTATTTGGTTCAAGTGCTCGACAAAGATGACATAGTGTTAATTTAGTGATAAGCATAGATAATTAAATTGCTATCTAAATTAATATCATGCATATGCATTTTCAATTTTGCAATAAAAATTTTCTAGGTGAGATAATACATAAGTAGTAAGGTTAAAAAAATATCTTATCTGGATAATTAAGTGATTGAGTAATTTATGAAATAAATAATAAGTGTGATAGGAAATTATAAAATGAATAATAAATTGAAATGGAAATGTTTTACATTAATATTTTGTTAAGTGCCTATTATGCTCATTATAATATTATATTATGTATAAATTATATCATGAGCCACTCAACATAAAATTTATTTTTATTATGTAATTTTTAATATGATTTTATGTTCTTTATTGCACTGCAGAACATATGAAAATAGAATAAATTAAAATTAATGTTAAGTAAAGTAGGCCCCATCCATCAAAACTTCAGATGAAAATATTGGATGGCAAATAAATAATTATAAAACTTTAGCCGCAAATATTTGCAAAATATTTGTTCTTGGCGCAGTTTTAGAGTCAACTCGATGACTTTGAGAAAGAGGGGGTTATACTAAATATTAACAAAGCTCTGTCCACCACTTTTGGAAACAGAACAGTAGTCTTATTTAAAATTGACATACTCCACAGAATCAACATGCCGTATTGTTATATTATTATCAGTTATGGTGTTCAGCATTTATATTATAAAATATTATACTTCCATGAGTAATATTAGTATCTGCTCTCGTGGATAACACCGACAAATCGCTTTAAATTGTCTGTTGGGTGATCTACAAAAGAAAAAACTTGTAACCAAACCCCTAAAAACCAAAATATTCCATATAAGAAAGTATCGAGACCTTTTTGTATACTTTGTTTAGGTTTCTAAGGGCAGTTCTTCTGTTTACATGTATGTATATTTAATATTTGAATACAATTTGATTTTCATCAGACTACTATTATATTAGCACTATTATACCCATGTACTCGTAATATTTAAATACTAACAACGTTACATGAATTGTTGAGTAACCAAGTGGGTACTGTTTATTTTTGAAATAGTACATTGTTTCTAAAACGTCTTAATTAAATATGTTTATGTTTAAATATCATATTTTATTCCGTGTGGCTTCTCGTAATACTACATCTTATTATTGTATGAAATACGTATATGACAAAATGTTGGTAGTACGGTACCCACAAGTTGAACAATATTCAACTCTTCCTACATGACAAGGTAAAGTAGAAACCCAACTTTAAATTGTATTACACGTGTATGAGTAAGATGAAATTCGATATAAAGGCGAAAGACTGAAATTAAAAGGTTAAAAAGACATAGGTACATATACTTAGATAGCTGAATATTCTAAAGTAAAAAATCGCTATTATTGTACGATTATGATTTGAGATTAGCAGTTGATGAAGTTCAAATTATTATAGGTACTACCAGTGGTGTGTTTAGGGAGTGTTGTAAGTTTCTTTTTATGTGAGAAAAATTGCCACCATAAAAAACTTGCGATTCCGGGAAAAGAAGCATTAAAAAATGTGTACCCTGAGCAGCAAAATCCTAAATACGCCACTGGGTAGTGGGTACCACTCTCCATCGGTGGCCAACTTATACGTTAATATAATATTATGATAAATTTAACCAATATTTAAAGTTTTTTTTTCAACAATTTTAATATTTACTCAATGGCCACCAAATCTTACAGGCAACAGTATCGATATTATTATATTTTAATTTGAAAGTTTAACACACGACAGCGACACGCGTGAGTGAATTATAATTATTATGAGATTTAGGCGGCATTAAGAATGTACGTTTTTTTCTTTTAGTATACAAGCCTATCATAATGGCCATAATATATTATAATTTATAAAATAAAACGTTTAATAATAGACTATAATATTATGTAAATGGTCTGCGTTACCGTCCGTATTGTAATAATAATAATTATTGTTATTTTGTGTAGGTACCGTACCTACATATCATTATAATTCTACAGTGACAAAAAGCAAAAAAAAAAAACGGGTTTTAATTTCTTAAAAAGGAGTCGTGCGACCCACGCAGAAACGATCCACCAGCGATGATTAAATAAACATCTCGTAGTAATCGAAACGAACGAATGAACGTCTAAATCGATTTATATACAATATTGTTATATTGTTATTACTATTATTCCTATTAGTACCTAATAATTAATTATAAAAATCGTAAATAATATCAGAAATGTATAAATCATTATTAATTTTTAACGGAATGTGCAATATATACATATATATTATATTATACTTGTATGTAATATAATATAATAAATATTAAAATAAATTGATATTATTATTCTCAGACTTTCACACGTAGAGCACTTGACAATTTATTACTGCAATAATAATTAAAATAAAACGTTTATAAATCAAATAAGCATTTCGACGTTTTTAATGCGACGTGGGCGATTATATTTTCTCCTTAATAAGCTCGTTCATGCAGTTAAATAAATTGAATGGAATAGGTTCGGCAATAATAAACGTTTGGAATCAAAACTCAAGTTGAAAGTGTTGAAATTTCTTTCTACAAACTATAGAACATTGTCATACTTTTATTTTATACCTAAATTCGGTACCCACGCTTGCAGTCACTTAATAAAAATTTCAAATAAATTATTTCGTCGTGTATAATATTATAAGGACATAGTTATATGGATTAACCAAATTAATTTTACCGATATTAAACAAAAGTGAACATCATAATTAAACTTTTCACCAGCGAAATAATATTTACTTAAGATTTCCCATTTTGTTAATTTAGGGATAGGTAGTAGAATTGGAAAAAAATATTCTTTGAGTACACATTTAATAAAAGTTTTGATAAGGTAAGAAATTTGACATATTTTATAGTAATTTATTTGAAAAATCAAAAATCAAACCAAAATATACTAACCAAATTACCGACAATTAACCAAATTTCACATAAATTTAACCGGTCGACATATCTTTAGACGTGGTTTACGTTTCATGTAATTGAAACTGTTATTTTTGGTTTGAACATATATTAATGTATAGAAATTATATATTTTGATAAATATAATGTACACTCGAGAACTGTTTAGTATATAATATAATATTTGGCGCGAAATCCGAAAACGAAACACTATTAATTGTATCGATATTATAAATCGCACGCGACAACGACAATTATTCAACATCCGAACCGATTTATTATACACATGTCGCCGAATAAATTGTGTACGAAAAAAAAATCTGTGTAGGTAAAATCTGCTTCGTTGCATTATTATCATCATAAGATTCTCTTGATAATATTTATTCGTCCCGAACAAACTATTAAATAATATGCGCCAGATGTTCTGCAAGTAAATGTTTCGCATTTCCCGGCTCTCTTCCGCCTCTCACCCCTCTACCACCGACTACTAATAGAATTCGAGGAAATCGCCGACAAAATCTTTTCAGAGATTCCGGCTCGTATACATACGCCATACATTAAAATGTGTATGAATTGTGTGTATATAGTTAATATGATTTGGCCTCGCGTCATATAATATACGACGTCTGTGGCGAGCAGCTTAGAATAAAAAAAGGTTGGCGTTTTGCGAGTGTATGCCTAGGTACCTACCGGAAGGTCGCGAAGACGAATCGTCGGAAGTCACGGAGGCGGGCGATGGGACAAACATAATATATTAT